ATTATTATTATTATTATTATTATTATTATTATTATTATTTTCTTTTTAATTTTGTTGACCTGATGAGGTCCTCTCCACTCTTTTCTCATTTATGTACCCTGAGGCCCAAACTATGCCAAATACATTAGTTATGTACTCTCTGTGTACATACCCCAGGGAGCATGATGTTAATGCACAGGTAGTAATTCACTTTTCCAGCAAGATGTGTGGGGAATTGAACTTGAATCCAGGAGGTCTTGTGGTAACAATCACATTCATGGCCATGAGGACAACTCTTGCTTTGAATTGTTAAATGCAAATATTTGTAGGACTCTGTTCTCCTTTGGGAACAGGAAAACTCAGCAAGTTAACGGATTGTCTTTGATAAGCCTTAGAACAGACTTTAAAAGTCATAATAAACCATTAAGTATTGAACAGTTAAATGCAAATATTTGCTGGACTATATCCTGCTTTGGGAAGAAGAGAATTCAGTGAGTTAGTGGATTGTATTTGGTGAGTCACAGCCTTTAAAAGTCATAATAAACCATTAAGTATTGGAAGGGTATGAGCTCCAATGGGAAACAGCAGCTGGGCTGTAGATTTGTAAGGAAGCTCTCCCCCCCAAGAATGCTAGATAAGGCTTTGATAAAGAATTAAACTGAGAGATAAACACATTTCTGGCCAGAATAATGTTGAGGCACTGTGCTTGCATCAAAATTGTTCCTAGATGGTGCCTTTGTGTAGTTCTTAGTGCAGCCAACCATTTTCCCTGCACATAGCCCTCTCTCTGTGTGTTGTGCAGTGGATGAGCTCAAGGCATGATGTCTGTTGTATCACTGATTGTGTACGTTTATAAGTATGCCAGCATATATTTACACCAAAAGTACATAGGCTTCTGTCTCTTGTTTCACTGAAAGATTGATTACACATTTAAAGTAAAGACTTAATGGCCATGCTCTGTCCTCTGTTAAATCTGTTGTCATGCTCCAGAGCCACACAAGGTTGAGAAATAGTTATCTGTCTGCCGGTAGGGTGATGATGGAGTTGTGTTGGAGTATGCCTAGGAGTACAGTCACCCCTCCATTCTTGTGGAAAGTCCGTGGTTTTGCATATTCACAGAGGGGCAACCTCCATTTAAATCAATGGGGCGCACCTGTGGAGGCGCACCCCATTCAAGCCTATGGGGCTTGAATATTTGTGAATCCGGGTCCAGAATAGATCCCCCGTGAAAACGGAGGGCTGACTGTACTTAATACTAGGAATACTAGAATACAAGGGATGTGGTGGCTTAGTGGTTAAAATGCCAATTCTGATGACTGGAAGATCAGAAGGTTGGCAGTTCAAGGCCTGAGTGCTGCATGATGGAGTGAGCTCCTGTCACTAGTCCCAGTTTCTGCTAAATGCAAGTAGATAAATAGGTACCATTTCAATGGGAAGGTAACAGCGTTCAGTGCAGTCATGCTGGCCACATGACCACCAGATTCATCTTCAGATAATGCGGGCTCTTTGGTTTAGTAACGGAGATGAGCACCTCCCCATAAAATCAGTTATGACTAGACATTCATGTCAAGGGACTACCTTTACCTTTAATACATAGCACTCCAGAAGACTTGGGAGGCTTATTTAATTTAGTGCTGCTTTCATGAACATCAGCTTCTTTTCAGCTTCTGAGATGTAACTGAGTCCACAACCTTCAGTATAGACCAAAATAAGCACCTTCTCAACATGGTTTCCATGTATCCACAGCCAATTTCTTTAGATCATGTGGCATTTGCTCATTCTTGCTCATTTTTCATTCCCCCCCCCATTGATATATTCCTGTGGTTTTTACCTATTTGCTCTGAAGATAAGTGTTTGTCCTTTCAATGTAGATGAAAGGCTATACAGAGCTTTCTGAGAAAACAAGGCAAACACCATGTTTGTTCTAGTCACTACTCTGCTGCCCTCTTCTGGCACCCACCTATCAGCACAATCCCAGAATGTGCATTTGCGAAGATCAAAATTGCTCTGTATGTTCCCCTTCACGAACATCACAACAGAAGATAGCAGGAGCAAACTAATTTGAAATTGTCCAGTGCTGTGTATATGGAATAAAAAACAGTGCATCTATCCTGATCAGTGTATCACAGTGTAAGATGACAAAACATAGCAATAGCAATAGTAAGTACATTTCTACACCACTTAGTGAACTAGCACTCCCTAAATAGTTCACGTGTATTGCCCTCAACAAGCTGGGTACCCATTTAACCAACCTATGAAAGGATGGAAACATTCCTTTTAACTTTAGTTTGTTTTTATGATCAAGAAGATAACAGAAGTGTAAAGTGGGAGGAAAGACCAAGAGACAATAGGTAATAGCAAGTTCTTCATTTTATTTCCCTATGCTTATGTCCATAGAAACAATACAATTATTGCATTGGTTCTGGAAATTCAAAGAAAGTTCAGAATTTGCTATGTGCCTCAAATGCTGATAGTTAGCAGTATGTTCTTGTAAGAACTTATTGTATACAATCAAGTTGTGTTTTATTGTAATTTTGTGCTGGCCAATTGGCCGTAATAAAGAAATGTATTGATTGCATCAGCAGTGACAAGGTAAGTCTTAAGATATGTTATTTTAAAAAAACATCATGGCATTCCCTATTTATTTAAACAGGACATTCTATTAAAATAATCCTGAATATGGCAGCCAAGCTTTGAGAAAGTACAGATCATAAGGGCATTCTTAGAAAGTTTGGAACATTCTTGAGGGATCCAGAACCACAGCAAAGTGCAAACTTCGAAAACGATACTTTTTGGACTATAGCTCTTAGAATCCTCTCTTCTGGGAGTTGTAGCCCAAAATGTAACTTTTGAAAGCAAAGATTTGGTTTAGTGGTTAGAATGTTCAACTAGGATCAAAAAGGTCAAGGTTCTAGTCTCTTATCTATGAAATTGTTGGGAAATGCAAGAGAAAGCAGTGGATTTCTCCTTAGCAGAGTAAGGGAATTCACAAGACAGAAGCTAAACAATAGCTAGGCTCATGTCTACCCACACATACATAGGGTTTAACAAATAAAACAACAAGCATAGTTTTCCTTGTAAAACTTATAGACGTAGTCTTACTTACAAATTACTTGTGCATTGTGGAGAGTGGGTATGGAAAAGCAAATAAACAAGAAGTCTGCAAATATGTAAGTTAGCAATTAATAGAAGTATGCAAAGGATGTGAATATAACAGTAGCTCACCATGTAAAGAACGGGAAATATTCTCTCTTTCTGGGATGCAGCTCCCAGAGTACTTTAAGGGAGTTTTGGGAAATTGTCATCCCAACCAGAAACCTTTTCCAAACTCTGACTTCTTAGACTGATCACTATTTATTCAGTCCAACCTCCCTCACAGGGTTGGTATGAAGACAAAACTGAGGACCTTGTACACTCCCACGAGTTTCTTGGATGAAAAGAAGGATAGAAATATAATCAATAACAAAGTGAATTTGAAGTTAGGGATGTTGAATCCAAATCATTAAACCCTCATGGCTAATTTGGATAGCACATTGAATTAGTTCTCATTCTGAAAAGATGGATCTCAGCCACCCTCAAATTAACTACATCTGTTCCAGGGTAAAACTGAGGGCACCATATATATAGACAACCCATCTTTGTTCATATATTTCCCCAATAGACTTCATTTCCTGTTATTATTAGACCATGAGAAAAAGCTGGCTTGAATGTTAATGCTGTCAGTCATGAGCTGCAATGAATAGCTGACAATTTCCACCATTTCTGATTTTCTGAAATATGTATTGGTTTTGTCTATAGATTTTAGGTGAATCAATGCTGACAAAAATCCTTTTTTAAAAAAAGAAATTGGTCCAATTGTTGCTATGATGGCACAATCAGCCAAAATTAATTCTATGAATGAAGCAGTCATGCTTAAAATAGTTATTCTTGAAGGAACCTCACTGAAGTAATAGGTATATTACAAGAATAAATGGTTTCAAGGTTTCTAATATTTCTTTTACCTATAGACAGAATGTCGGAATTGCCACAAACTCCTGGTGATTCAGCATTGACCTAATTTTTATGTTTAAAAAGCTGTTATCTGCAACTAAATCATTTTCATGTCCTTTGAGTCACTTGTACAAAGTACAAGAGATACTCAGTGCAGCAGTGAAAAAAGGCAAATTTAGCATTAATAAGTATGTATGAAAGAGTACTACTCATTATGTTCTACTGGGAAAGTCAGGTTTCTGCACCAAGAAAAACGATGTTTTGAATGTAGAACATATTATAGGCACATAAATCTATTGTTTTGTATTAATATGCTCACTGTGCACATTTTGTACAACATATAGAATTTTTATTTCATGTTCTGGTATGGTAACTGGAGTTGAAGTGAACATTGTACATAGAAGCTGTGTCATACCATTTGGAAAGCAAGAAATTCTGTGTTAAATGCTCCATTTTCACCCATTCTCTACCATATGTCTACTTGTGGTTTGTATTGTAGCAGTTAGCAGCAGAGCCCAAGCATGAGGAGGGGTATATTTCACAGGGTCCCAGTTGTCCAGATGAGTGGGAAACTTTTTAAAAGAATTCATTCATGTAAAAAGTAAAAGTCATCCTCAAATATTCATGTCCTAAAGCAGGGATTGGGAATGCAGGGCATCAAGTCAAATTCTCCCCTCTTGAGATCCCAGTCTGGTTATTTGCTTCTTTAGATAGCTGCTCTTGCTTTCCAATTATATCATGGTTCCTAAGCACCTGTATGGGTTTTTCACATTCTCAAGGTCTCAAATGCCTCTTCTAAGGCTTAGTCTCTGGCAGCAAGAAATTTAATATGAAATAAACTGCCATTTTTGGTCCTATCCTTTTGAATTTAGCCTTATCCATGACTGGTATGTGCCACCCAAGAACTACTGTGAAACTGAATGTGACCCTCAGGAGGGAAAAGGGTGCCCTACTCTTGTCCTAAAGCATATGGGATTGATTTCTGTTTTAAAAGCTGATTTCTTCACATCATGAGTCCCCTATTAGTTTGTGCCTTGTGCTACTGCCTTGTGCTACTGCTAACTACTGGTCTAAAAGTACAGCAACATAGACAGGAAGGCTTTGGCTATAAAATCTTCATGACATACCTCAGAACAAGATTAGTTTTCATTCCTTGTGCTTTAAAGAAGACATACTCCATTCCAAATTTGCCTATTTGGAACCAGAGCTTGTATTTTCTTCCTCTTTTGATGACCTATAATGGAATAACAAGACCAGATGCAGAGAATTTGGTTAAACAAGGGCCATTTTATTGGTCTAATTACATTGTGACAAACCTGGAAGAAGCAAGAGGGATGAGCAACCTAGATTTAACTGAAGCCATGTGTCATTCCTTGACAACCCTTGCATGAAGCACCTGAACCCCAGGGGTAATCTCATTGCTGCCACATGGCCGTTGGATGCCTAAACCAGAATAGAAGCCAAAACCTCACCAGCATGAGATTGCAACCTCAAGCATGACTGAAAAGGCCCTGTGGGGGCTGGGACTAGGCCACTCCACTGAAAATGGCCCACACAGGCCATCAAGCAAGCTGCCACAACAATGAAAACCAAAAGCACAAAACCAGGGACCGGGGTGGGAATGGGGGAATCCTCACACTGAAGACCAGCTATGGATGCTTCCCTTCAAGGCCAGATGGGCCCAGAAACTGCTAGTAGGGAGCAGAGGACAACAGGTGCAAAAGCCCACAGCATGATGCAGGCCAGTTGAAGGAGAAGGAAAGCCAAAGGCCCCCAATAGCACCTACACGTCCCAAAAAGCACCCTCAAGTCCTGCTCTGAATCCTGCCCTGAATCCTGACAAACCTCTTCAGGCATGAAAATAGCAAGAATAAAACTAGAAAGAAATGTAACTTTTTTTTTCTGCTGCCTTCTACCTTCACTACCTATATTTTCTAGTAAGTTATGCCTTCTCATGATGTGACCAAAATACGACAGCCTCCGTTTCATCATCTTGGCTTCCAGGGAGAGTTCAGGCTTCATTTGTTGGTCTTTCCTGAATTGTGTAAGGATATCTGCAAATCAATTTTGACTAATATTTGTGCACTAAGGCAGCCCCAGGCTCGCATGATTTCCTCCCTCACACTGCCTATTTTACTATCAATCATAGGATTGAGGACAGTAAAATAACTGAGATTTGAAGTGCAAGTTATTCAAGCAAAGAACACTGCCCAGAACCATATCCCAATGCAGTCCACAGCTGAGTGAAACCATCACAAGAGAAACTGCAAATTGTACAATACAGTATTCATAACTGAAGCAGGGAGATGTAGAATAAGTGGCAAGACAATCTGTTTCCTTTTTTCTTAGATGCAAACTCACAACACACACCTAGACATTCTTTCTGATCCTATCAAGGCCACCCTTGCTGAGCAACAGTGGGCTATGTGTTTGAGTTCATTAGGGAATATGGCAGCGAGTGCATTGAAACATTTCCAACCTGCTTTGCACTGAGATCTGGAGAGGGAATGTAATGCCAGACCTCCCATGTTTTAATACAGTTCTCAACAATATGGACTCACTTGCAAGCTTTTGTTGGTGCACCTTATTCTTTATAGTTAAAAACACATAAAACCTGCTTACTTAGAGCATGGAAAATAAATCATGTCAGGATATAAGTGGGTGGCATGGATTTTTAAAAAAAATTAAAATGGCCAAGGATAAATAAAATAAAATGAAATAAAATGGCCAAGTCAAAATTAAAAGGGAGGGTCAACACAAATCAGGTGGGGTTTTTTAAAAAATGGCCTTATATAATTCAAAACATGTTTAATTTATAGACTGATAAATATTTAACAAGGTGTTTGTTGTTTTTTATACAGATGTTCCCCAAATTTATTTAACAATTAAATTGTGTCCATTTTGTGAATTACACACAGAAACAAACATTGCTAAAATTTGGTCACTTACTTTGTGGCTACAGATAGACAGAAATAATGAAAAACAGGAAGCCTAAATCTGTGTATAAAGTTTGAATGTAGTTGCACAGTTTATGGTTATCATTTGAAAATGGCTTAGGGATTGAGAGATGAATGATGGAAAGAAGATTATTTTATTAGCAGCATCATGCATACATACAGTAGGAGTAGGCAACCTGCAGTCCAAGGGCTGGACACAATCCATGGGCTACATGCAGCCAATTCCCTAATTTCATTTAAGTCAAGGATGAGATGCATAAGGATCAGAGGCAGGAGAGAAATGGGGAAAGACTCCTATAAAAATCAGTTCAGGTCTGTGGCAAGGAGAGAGGATTTGGGAGGGAGCAGTCAAAATAGATGGAACAATCACAATTTGGAAATGTTTTTCTTTTGGATTCACTTCCCAGGATTCCCAGCCAGCATTCTGTGAGTTGAAGTCCCAAAAAATACCTTTTCTAAGTTCTGTGGGTTTAAAGAGAGAATTCACTGAAAACAAGCAATTCAGACCTCTGGTGAGAGTGATTTATTCTGCTTTCAACAGAATGCTGACCAGTGGTGAGGGGAATGAAAGAAAGGAATGAGGTGGCAGCACCCATGTTTGACTACAACCCTTCTTACTTGGTTCCTCTGATCCAGCCCACCTGTGCCATGGGCCCTCTGGCTAGGGTTGCCATACCCCCAGTATGACTGCATTTTACCTCAGTTCTAGTCATGGCCTCAAGTGCACATTTGGACTGCTTATCCAGCCCAGATTACAACCTTTCATTTATATAAGAAAGCAAGTCACTAGTCCTTGTAAAAGCAGACATAATGGGGCAACATATGGAAGACTCTTTGGCAAAATTGTTCTGTAATAAACAAGTCCAACTTTCAAAGCCAAGGGAATGGAGAATGACCACTGCTGAGGAAGGAGAGATGTATTGAGAAGGCATGAAGTGAGATGAAGGAGGAGACCAAGAGAGAGAGGAGAGTGGCGTATGGG